CCCCCCCCCCGCCCCCCCCCCATCTCCTCAATGGTGGACTGAACTTCACTATTCATTTGGGACTCGGTGCATTTCAATCTTCACATAGTACTCTTGCTCTCTCTCCTCTCTCCCCTTTCGACCTTGCAGTCGTCTCCCCCCAACCCCCTTCTTCCCCGAGTCCCACGCCGACTACTTGTACTACTAGCAAGTACCTATTTTGTCTGGTATGTGTTTGCCTGGCATAATAGGCCCTCTACTCTAAGTCATTCCCCCAGTGGCCTATCCTTCCTGCTGTTCGTTAGTAATTCTCTCTTTGGTTGTTGCACTGGTCAAATCCTCATACAACATTGTCGGGTTAGGCACAGCTTCGCTGACTTCTTGTCTTTTCTGTCTAGCCCCATTCCGTCATCCTTTTTTAGTCTCCGGGCCCGATCAGCTTTCGGCGACTGCGGATATTGATCCAATTTACTTTCTTTTCTTTTTTCCCCGACGCCTCGAGTTTTACCATATCAACTACGATTGAACCAAGCTTCAATTCTCGTCGTCTTCTCTGCTTCAACTTCGAATAATCTCTCCCCCTCCCGAATGCTCTGAACGTCCTGTCTCGATTAGCTTTCCTCCATACTTCTTCCCGTGGCGGCTGCGAGTTACGATTTGCCTAAACTCCGTCCTCATTGTCGAACCTTAGTTCAACCTTGCAACCTTCTCACGATACATAGCCTGCTGGATGGGTTTTCTGGTAGTCTAGTCTCTCAGGCAGCCGATCGATACAATTCTCCAAACTTCTCAGCTCACCGGACATTTCCCGGCTAGGCGGAGATAAACGCTTGAAACACATGCCACCCCCTAGGACAAGAGCGGAGGTCCAAGCCCAGAAACAAAAGGAAAAGGTATGTAGAGTCGCTACTTGGCGTGCCTGCCCAGCATATCATTATTGATGACAACGCCTCTGCGTGGGGAGAGCTGCTATCACTACATACTTTTCATTGGAGAACCGCCCCCCCCCTTTTTTTTTCCCTCCAAAAATGATCTGTGCCTGGTATTAATGGAAACTCCATGCGACTTGACAGCTTGCCCAGTCATACAATGAATTATTAGAGTGAGTGCCTACCTTGTCAGAACCCCGACAACCTTGCTGACCTGACTTGATGATCGTAGGGAATTCTCCTCGAAAGACCTCCGTGTTGTAGGCAATTATACACTTGGGCGGTTAATAGGAAAAGGCTCCTTCGGCAAGGTCTACCTCGCCTCTCATAAGTTGACTAATGGTTCTAAGGTAGGTCTCCTCAACTATGCAGGCAATCGAAGCATGTATTAAGGCATGTTATATTCAGGTCGTACTCAAGTCTTCGAGTAAGGAGGACAGGAACCTGGCGCGCGAGATTCATCACCATCGTCAGTTCCTTCACCCCCATATCGCTCGCCTCTACGAAGTTATTGTGACAGAAAATCTGGTTTGGCTAGTGCTGGAATATTGTCCAGGTAGGTTAGCCTGGATTGTTTGCGATCTATGATTTTTGACACTGGTAGGTGATGAGCTGTACAATCATCTCCTTCAACATGGCCCACTTCCCCTTGAGAAAGTCAAAAAGATATTCACACAATTAGTCGGGGCTGTGGCGTATGTTCACAGCAAGTCCTGTGTACACCGCGATCTCAAACTAGAGAATATCCTGCTTGACAAGCACGAAAATGTCAAGCTTTGTGACTTCGGTTTCACAAGAGAATATGAGGGAAAGGCAAGCTACCTGCAGACATTTTGTGGCACAATATGCTATAGTGCTCCCGAAATGCTAAAGGGGGAGAAATATGCCGGCGAGAAAGTGGATGTATGGAGCTTAGGAATCATTCTATACGCCTTACTTGCGGGCGAACTTCCGTTCGACGACGATGATGATCAAGTCACCAAAGCTCGCATCCTCAACGATGAGCCGGCGTACAATGAAAATTTTCCCGAGGATGCCAAAGCCCTCATCAATCTGCTCTTGTCAAAGCGACCTTTGATTCGGCCGGGCTTAGGTGAAATTCTCGGGCATTCATTTCTCGCCGAGTTTGCTTCGGAACAGCTGGCGATTCTGAAGATCCCACGTCCGGCGCCATTTTCAACTCCGCTCGAGAAGACAACATTGCAGCGCATGAAAAGTGCGGGTTTGAACATCGATGATGTTGTGGAAAGCGTCCTCTCTCAACGATGTGACCCACTCGCTGGCTGGTGGGCATTGCTGATAGAAAAAGAGCAACGCAAAGAACGAAAAAGGGAGCGTAAACGCCGAGAACGTGAGGCTGAGGCCAAAAACATTCGCCGGCTCAGCGCAGCGAGCAGTCGGTTGGAAAAGATTTCCGCGGCCTTAGTTGAAGTGGATGAGGAGGGGCACGCTTCATCTGATGGCCCTCTCCATGAACGTGGACGTAGGAACAGGCGGAGCTTACCATCCCAGCTCACTGTACCAGAACTACCCATGCTTCCTGAGCCAGCTCCCGTGCAGTCTCCAGATTCTAGCGTGCCTCCGCCGCCCATTGATAAGGACTCTGTTCGCTCCGCTAGTTCTACTCGACCTCGTCCCGTACCGCCTCCCAAAGATCAAGCACGGCGGCCGAGCACCTTGCACGCCAGCGCTTCGCAACCGGAACTGGCGCAACACAACGGCCTTTTCAGAAGGCGTACTGGTCGCCGTCAGTATCCGATCATAAGTCAGCTGGCCTCTCTCAAGCACTGGTTTGTGGAGTCTGCAAAGAGGGCCAAGTCACCGCACGCAAAGGCTACGAGTGCCCAAGGTGGGCATCGCAAATTTCTTTCGGAAAGATTAAGCCCAGGAAAAGGACAAGAGGCTGGAAAGAAACCGACATCGCCATCTGCCACCATTGGACACCAAGATGACTTATCGACACCGACC